TCCGCAGAAAGTCAGTCAGTCATACAGGTTTGGAACGGCATGAGAGTAAATTATGACATTTTTCACTTTTGTGTGAACTACTTCTTTAATTGTGTATAATTATGATATATGTTTTAATTAATTTTACTATTCATACATTTATATGAAAATATGATTTCTTACGTATTAATTTTCAATATAATCTCAATATCGATTCAGCAATGTGTTTGAAAAAAGAAAACATGACATGCATAAAGAACGAGAGGAAATGAAACAAAGGAACATGGCAATGTTGAAGAAAGAGGATGAACACAGACTGTTGCAGGATGTTTATGAATGAGATATACAAGAGTTACAGAAGAGAAAGAGATTGACAGACCCAACAAAACAAGTTAGATAGACATGGATAGACAGTCGAGGTACAAACATGATGACCCTCTTCGCTTTCGCCATGGCTTCGTATCTACGGTCGTGTAACGGCGATGGGAAACTGTTCAATTAAGGCACTATAAAACGACTTGCCTTCAAATCAGCTCGCAGACACACGCGCACACACTCGCAGACGACCGTCCCACTGTCACATGGATGAACCCAACCCTCCGATCTTCTGGAATAGTGGCGATGGATTCGTATCCGATCTTGGATTTGGATCAGATGAGGATGATAATGAAGTATGCCATGGTAAATGCTGAGCAGAAATGGATTGGCAAACCCAGCACTAAATTACCCAAGGTGCACAATATCATTTGAATCCCATTGACAAGATTTTTTTTTTTTTGGCATGCACATTGCCTGTGCTGGCCACAGCTGTGCCTCAAGTTCTCGCTCTCATACATACAGGGAAAAAACTACATTACCCATCACCCCCCTCCATTTTCTCAGGTTCCCCCACACCTTAGCATGCACACACATGTAGTTCTGTTCTGTACAAAGGGAGACCACAGGAAGTGGTGTAGCTACATAGAGGGTGACTTGTTTTGGCAGCACTCAACCATTGAAGGAAAGCCCTTATTTCGTATGAAACAGAAAGAAAATACAGCTTTGTTCTACTAGGACGATACGAAACAAACAACACGTGCTCAAATGCAAGTGTGTTGTGTATCTACGATGAATCACTTGTGTGTTGCAAACTGAAAATGGCTTCTGTTGGGACAGAAAATGAAGATGCGTGTCGAAAACAGAAAGCAATAAAGGCATTGACACTGAGAGCAAAAGAGGGTCAGAACTAAACTGATGAACAAGCAGAGCCAAAGAAAGATGCATCGGTCGTAATTATATTCGTAAACTCTTAAAGGGACAGTGCACCCAACAAAGAAAATTCCTGATATCATTCATTCAACCTCATTTATCTAATAAACCAAGATGACTTCATTTCTTCTGTGATAAAATTTGAATCTAATTTTGTGCTATATTTAAACTCCCCATGAATGAATGGAATACTGCAATATTTATTATAAATTATTTATCCATGCACATCATTTTCTTTTTAATTCATGTGCCCTTTATTCAAAACAAACTTCTAACCTGTCACTAACAAGAGATCACAGCAATTAGCAAACTTTAATGCTCCAATCAATTCTTGATTGGAAAAACATGCATTTTTTCACCTCAATATGTTTTATTTGTATATGCATCACAATAGAATTGTGCAATTTACTTTTCATGCTAAATTTAAGCCTTTAAGCGAACTAGATCTTTCTAATTTGTTAATTAATCATTCTGACAGGTTCTGTCAATTGGTTCAACCAATTTCTAAAATATTTAGTTAATAACTTTTATTACAGTCTCTTTCTCACACAAACCTATTGTATGGCTTATAAAACTTGGAATATAGTCATATGGACTACTTATATGGAGCTTTTGTATCCTTTTTGAAGCTTAAACGCCTCAATTCTTACTCATTTTAACTGCATTGAAAAAAGCAACTGGAATAATCCTTGAACATCTCTCTTTTTCTGTTCTACAGAAGAAAGTAAATCATAATGGTTTGGAATGAGATGAAGGTGAGTAAATGATGACAGAATTCCCTTTTTTTGGGTGAACTGTTCCCTAAAAAACCACAACCTTCTGCTATCTCTTTATAATTAATACAAATCAAATTGTATTAATAATCTATCGATCCACATCTTGAGCTAAAATGGAGCAAATTTCCTGCATTTCAAGTGTTTTCGGCAAAAGAATACAAGACCAAGAGAACTTCTAAATGGGCATAATATTAACCATGCAAAAGGTCAAGCTAACATTCATGCCTGACAAAAATAAGCCTTCCTGTCCTTTTGCTAAAGACCTGAGAAGTAGAACAATCCCTCCGATGTTCGATGCAACTCTCTGAACGAGCAGGGTGAGACAAATCAAAAAATGTCTGCCATCCACTTGAGGAAGCATTGCTAAGAGAGACAGAGAGCCTAGATGGACACCCTGACAGAACTTGCTTGTCATTTCCCTTCATTACTCTCAGAGTAACTGGGATCTTCCCCCATCATATAACCGTGCCTCCCTGTCTTTAAAAAGCCCAGCAGACAGCGCAGACATGGGGACTTGTTAAGGCGTAGTGTGAGTCCATCACATTAAGAGAGAGATAGAGGGGAGAGGGAAGAGAGGCAGGGGAAAGGTTAGTGTGCGACACTAGAACAGAAGGCACTGTGGCTCTGCAGGTTCATCTAGACCCATGGGCATCAAACCAGGAGCTAACTGGGGGCCAGCTGTAGGTAAATGTGGGCCGAACATCAACAAACACCCAGAAAACAGTGGTTTCCTCCCTAAAAGTCTTGAATATGGGTTGGCAAGGAGAAGGGATCAAATGAAATGACACTATTCGTATTTTTAAGAAAACAAGTACTGTGGATTCCATATGACTCTGGGACAGAATGAAGATAAGAAAAGGAGAAAATACAGAACCACCCAACTGACTTCAAGATTAGATGAATGTGATGAGCTATTCTGAAATAAGAGAGTGTTTAATGTTGAAAACCTAATGAATCCTTTCGGCTTCCTATACTGACTTCTTGAGGAGAAATTTCTGCATCTTTTTAACATTTTTCTGGAATCCCATAAAGAAAAATCATAAATGAGATCTCTTTAACATCTCAATAGTTACTCCTAGAGATAAAATTGAGACTCCTGAGAAAAAGATCTCACACGTGTCTCCTGTAGAATTTCAAAAACACTCTGTGATTTGCTAACACAAAGTCTGCAATCAAAAGTCAAAGATATGCTACCCACATCTCATTTGTGTCTACTTTTTTCTAAGGATTTAGGAGAATAAAATTATCTGGAGGGGAAAGCCTGTTGTAATGGGATTTCATAAACATTTGACTTTTCTGATGTTTTGAGATGGTCCGATGGGTGGGGGTCAGCTGGACGGGTTCAGTGACAGTAGGGGAGGCTGAATATGCCGCACCTCTACACCTCTGTGAGATATATGTTTGGCTGTATCATTGTATCCTGAGCAGAAGGAGGGGGGGGTCTCAGATTGAGCAGGCAGCCAAAGACATAACAAGCTGCCCGTGGCAGGGAACAGGAAGGCAGGGTGGAAGAATCGTTTCCAGTTACATGATCAAAGACTACCCAGGTCAAAATTCTCAAAAAACTCCTGTCGGAAAAAAAGTCAAAGGCGAGCTTCGACAGACCTGCTTATGTCACCTGTCGGGGGACAGTTTTGCAAAATCTAAAGTTCTTCAAGTGCCCTCTGGCGACCGTATTTTTATAAGGGATTGTTTGTCCGTAGTCTAGCCTGGCTTAAGCTGCGCAACAGCACCACAACATGGACAAAGAGTAAACAACAACATTCATCACCCAAAATACTAACTTGCACTAACTCTACATTAGCTGTGAAATAATTCAAGGGGTTAAAAACTGACCCTCTATAAAGCGGTTTCTTCAGATCACACTGTTGTGTGACCATCTGTTTCTGTCAAAAAATAAATATGGAATGGACCCTGAATTTGTCTGAAAAACTCTGACACAAAAACTGTCCGAGGGTATCCTGAATGCCCCGACTCTCTCTTTTAAAACATTCATGAGCTCTGACCTGAACTATTCACTACAGATAGGAATATTCTACTTAGCTGAGGTCACAAGTACGTAAACTTTAGGATGCTATCAGGAGCGCATCCTTATAGACTTCAATCTTGTGGTGAACAGAACCGAAAATAAAGTTCAAAACAAGATGGCCACAACAGACAAAACTCTCGAAAACAAGACAACAAAGTCACGTGATCACCTCTATCTTCATCAGTATCACCGTCATCTTCATCAATTGCATTAAGATAGTTTTCATCATTATAAGACTATTGTTATTGACAATAGCAAATGAAGCCTTTAGAAAGGAGAACGTCTCTCACCCCGTTTCTCTCTCTGTTCGCAGCCATGGCCAACAGAGCCGTAATGAGGGAGGTTTCACCATTCAGGCTCGTTTTTAGTGCAATCCAAAGTAATAATAAACAGTGCAGAACATCATCTGGGATCCTCAGATGGATATAACATAGAAAACACCTTCAGATCTGTCTCGCTATTTAGAAAGGTCTGCTGTAGCGTCTATCTATAAACTCCATCTGCACGTAAAGATCTGTAGACATGGCAAGAGCAACAGGGAGAAAACGAGAGAAGGGGAGGCCCTTGACGAGCAGTCCTTGGCGATCGGGGATGCGGGTGTGAATGAGGGTGGGGGTTGCCCTGTGATAGACTCTGCTCGTAGGCAGGCGGCTCATGGTGCCGCTCGTACTCATAGTCCCGATCGTAGATAGGTCCGTCGCCCTCCAGACTGTCAGGCAACGGGCCCCAGCGGCTGTGACGTGGGGACCTGGGAGATGCGTGCCTGGGGGAGCGTGGGGAGGCGTGCTGGGGTGAGGCGTGCTGGGGCGAGGCGTGGCAGGAGGGTGAATGATGGTAGGGCGGTTCGTGACCCGGTGGAGAGAAGTGTCTCGGGGAAGGGGAACGGAGTCGACCCTGGCCCGGGGAGCCGTACGGAGGCTTGCGGACGGCAGGGGAGTAGGTGACATGAGGGCGCGGTGTAGACGGTGTCTGGGGCAACTGCCGACGGCCACGTCGGGGGGTGCTGGTCCCCGACGTCGAGGGAACGGGGCTTCCGCTCACGGAACTACTGCCCTACATGAAAATTAAAACAAGGCAAATAAAAAAACACCACAAAATTAACGTCAAACAAAAGAGAGGAGCACACACCGGCAAGAGGGGGAGGACGTAGAGGAGGAAGAGGAGAGAGAGACGAGGGAGAGTAAGTGAGAGAAAGAGAGAGAGAGAGAGAGACTGTAATTAAGAGCCATTTGCTTATCATCTTGGAAAAAATAATCCCTTCATTATCACCTTTAAGATTAATTAGCCATCAGTTTTTGTCCCTTCTATAAGATTACGCACTACTCATGATAAAACATTGTTTTATGTATTCTTATATTTTTAATGTGGATTCTGCCTCATGTTGCCATGATTCAGGGTTCATATTGATTCTACTATTTTTTTTTTTAAGAATTAGTGTGGAAACAACAACATCAAGAAAACCAGAAAGAAACAAACCGGTAATGAGGCAAAACAGCAGACACAGAGAAGCCACAAGTCACATCGAGAAAAATGGACAGAAACCACAGTGATAAAAGAAGATAAACAAAAGAATAACACAAAAAAGAGAAACTGATTTCAGTAAGCAGTCATGATAAGGTCACAGGTGTGCATATGCTGTCTGGTTATAGTCGACCCACACCTGTGTGCTCAAGATACCTTTCATCCCTCAGGCTCCTCATTGCAGGTTACTGTAAAGATCTTAACCATGGACTTACGCACATAAATAGGTGTGCTGAATGAAGTGAATAAAGGAATGCTTCAAAATGATGCTACTTCATGAAATATGCTATTTTCCTTTACATTTTAATAAAAATAATAGTCATGCCAATTGATTAAAATTAATTCCACAGTATTTAAAATACTTGATATTTTAAATATTTGTTTAATGGCATCTTCTCAATAAGTAAATAAAGACTAATATCACTGATATCAGTATTGATACGGATGGCTCTTATTTATTATTTTTACATTAATTATTTATTAACATTTACAGAACATAAAAACATAATAATAACCTTTAATTGAAGTGAACCTGAAACAATATTCACATAAACCCATTATAAATAATCTCCACTTTTTATATAGTTTGAATGTTGATGTTTCAAAAAAAATGGTTTGATGTATTATATAAACATACTCTAGTTTTCATTACAAAACCTCCTCCAGTCCAAAAAAGACTATCTACTAGAAATAAACTGCAACACCTCATTTCAAAATGCATTAGCATGACTGCACACAAATTTTGTGCTGTTGTTTGGCTGCATATATCTCTTCTTAGGCATCTTAAGGATCTCAATATAAAGAAACAGTAAAAGATTCATTTTAATATAAATTTAACCATTTGGGTGCAAAGTTATTGTTATTGAAGAACAGGGCAGTGCAAACTATAGTGGACCTGACAGCAAACCTGAAATTCTTTAAGTGCCGTTGCTTATTTTATATGTGAATAAATTAGAAACAGAAGCTATAATAATAACAAAGGCTTTTTCAAGCAGCAAATAATAGCCAGAGGAAAGGTGGGAAATGTTTGGGTTAAAGTAAAATCACACTCTTACAGAGCAAGAAACCTTGATTAAAAAGTGTAGATCAGCGAACGAAAAACATTTAATCTGACATGACCCCTTTATGTACTATTGTGAGTCACTTCTAAAAATAATGTTGAATTTGTGCATAAAATAAAAGTGGTATTTCAGTGAATGTGTGCCCCACCTGTCTATGCCCTCTCCCCTCACTCGGTGAGCGGGACCAGTGGCGATCAGATCTGTCGTGAGGATGACGGTGGTAATCGTGCTCATGACCGTACCGCTCCTTATCCACCGAGCTGTGGTGGTGATGATGATGATGGTGGTGGTGGTGGCGACGATCTTTTGCTCGACCCCGTTCTCGTTCTCTCTCTTTAGGTGGGAGGTCACCTGATTGTGTAGTGGTGCTGAGATCCGTGCCCAGACCTGCTAATGCCAACACAGAAATGAGATGAGATAGCACTTTAGACCAAGGCCGTAACCATGTCTTGAACATTGGGGGGGGACCAACTTTCATATATATATATATATATAGCCTATGCGCTGCTTTTATTGACACACTCGCACACAGAGGTCATATAATGAGGTGTGCACACTCAAACATGTTAATACTACCCCGCGACTTTTATTATAATAAAATAGTTTCCATACTGAATCGCTACATTATATTTCTCAGCAACGACATGTTTTTAAAGTAACTAAATTCACACCTTCATTGTTTGTAGGGAGAGACGAACAGATGCAGGTGATTCACACACGCACATTTAATATCTCTCGCTCTCTCAAAATGGCCTTATTTGAGAAAAAGGTAGAGTAGTTTGCATCACTAAATATAAATGTCGGTCATTTAACATTTTTTAACAAAATTAGGCATCCGATGACCCCTTTTGCATAATTAGAGCAACAAAGAATGTGTACAGGAAATAAACAACCACAAAAAGTTAATTATATTTTTCACGTGTGACCTGTGTCTGCATCTGTATAGCGAGCGAGTGATCTCTCTGAGGTGCGGTGACTGCGGTCTCTCTCCCGGTCTCGATCCCGTTCTCTTCTTCGTGGACCGTGTCGGTGACCCTCTTCAGACACCACCCGTTCCAGAGAGTAATCGTCCAGTCGCACGCCTCGTCCTGAACGTCCGTGAACCAGTGAGGATGTAGAACGGCGCATTGGACTTGTGTCTGTGATGGTCTACAGAGAAAGATACAAGGTAGAAAAAAGAGAGATGGATAATTTGTGATTGAGAGAGACAGAGCGAGAAAGAGAGAGAGAGCGAGAGAGAGAATGAGAGATAGACAGGCAGACCAATAGACAGACAGACAGACAGACAGATAGATAGATAGATAG